GTCTTCCTGAAAGAGTGTTTTTTGTTTATATGGCCTTTTTCCTCTTCACTTTCCCATGTTTGATGAACCCATTGGAGTAGCAAATCACTTTATTACAGTGGACTTCCATACACATAGCTGGAAGAAGCAGTGGGAAGGACAGGTTGAGAGGAGTGGTATGGTTCTGGAGTAGTTTTGCTTACAGGTATTAATGAGCCTGGATTTCAGAGCTGCTACTGGCAAAAATTGGTAGCTTTTCAGTAATAGCTAAGGTGAATCTTCCTGCTACAGTGATTTCTGCCAAGCTTTCTGACCCTCTACTACATTTCTTTCTGAAAAACTGTTGAAAGAGGCCCTATTGTCAGTATGGAAAGTTGCTATCTAAAAAAGAGGACATAGTGTGTAATGGAGGAAGAGACACAGTAGAGGTGGTGAGATGCCCATGTAGAGTCTTTGCTGGGATGCTACAGAGCCAAGGAGTAACTGAGATGATGGTGAATGTGATTTCCTGCAGTGTCCTATATATGTAAAATTTCATTTTTAAACTCTGGGCAGACTGAAGCAGTTGAGGCTGGAAATGCTGAATAGTGATAGTCCAAGATGTGGGCTTGGCCAGAGAATTTCTGCTGTAACCATATAGCTAGCAAGTGGCTGCTCCCAGAGCAGGTGGGCTGTAGGCACAGTCTTTGGCCTGAATGCTTCACCTGGGCAGATCCCTTTAACAAGCTGAAGAGTCAGGACACTGCAGGCATATGACCTGGTTCCATTGGCTGTTGTGTTGAACTGCAATTAGTGGCTAATTTTAGGCAGCCTTGTGAAGGTCTCCAAAATCAGGGATGACTATATGACTTGTCAGCTCCGTTGGTTTTGTACAATCCCTCCCCTGCTGCTGAAGTCTTTTCCTGTGTTGCAGTTCTTGCTGGTTTGGCTTCCCCGGTGAAACCAGGCACATACTGGTGTCTGTCACAGTTGTTTACTCCTTGATCCTTCCAGGCCTCTTGATGGTAGCCTGAGATGTTATGTGGGAAGGAGGGCAGTGTATCAAAGTAAAGAGAACAGTGGCTTCTACTCCTAAGAAACCAGGAGATCAGAGTTCATTCAAGGCACTCTTCTACTGCTGACTTGAAACAGGTTTCTTCAATGTTCTGTAACTTAACTTCTCTATCTGTAAGGCTTTACTGCTTTTTCTTAACTGAGATCTAAATAGTGTGAAGTGCTGTTATGATCTGTTTCCATGCAGGGATTTTATGACATCTCAAACATTTAGAAACTGCACTTTGTAGCTTTGTATACCTATGTTCAAGCAGAAGCATGTCACACAGTCTGTTTAGTCATAGTTTAGTCCAGCTGTATACTGAACATTTAAGCAAGCTGACCATCTCATGTGAGCATCACCGTTAATAGTAATTATTTCCTTGCAGATGTTTCTGTATTTTGGTGAACTGGGACTGGCTACATGCTCTGCTGACCACCTCATTATTCTGTGGAAGGATGGTGAACGAGAATCCAGACTCCGCAGTTTAACACTATTTCAAAAATTGGCACAGAATGGTGATGTGCAGCTCAAATTTTAAGCTGCTATGGATGTATAAACTGAATGGATGTTAAATGTGTGTGTGAATGGAAGTCTGAGCTGATGGCAATGTGTCTACCAGTAAGGTTTACACTTACTGTCATGTATCATACTGGAATTTTCATTAGTTGCTACTACTCTTCTCAAAGGACAGTTTTGCATGTTGGAATTTACCTGGCTTGTTCTCTCAGCAGAAATTATGTTATCTTGCAAGACTGTAGGTAACGATGACTCCTTAAATAGTTTCTGTTTTATTCCTAGTGTTTAAAAATAACATGGGTGAATGTTAAGATTTGTAAAAATCTTTAGATGGATAGTAACTGAAGCAGTTAGGGGCATTCTATAGTGTTATGTGCAGAGAGGAGGCACACAAAAAAGCCCTGAGGCTTTCCTGCTTTATATAACTTTTTTCTTGAAGCTGATCTTTAGTTGCTGATGGCTCAGATTTATGTATCTACAAAAAAAAACCACCCAAGAAACAGTTTTGGCTTTTGAAGCTACTATCCTACACCAAGGGTAAGAGCAGGAAAAGTAAGCAATACTGGTTTGTCAGTTTTCATTTTCTACAAAGCAGTGCATATATGTACTGGTACATCTCCCCTGCAGTAGATGCAGTTTTATTGTGGGTCTACCTACACTACTGGAATTTATACAACACCATTTCCATGTCTAGCATGAAGTATGATTGATTTAGCTTAGTCTGTCCATAGTGCATTCATCACATTTATGTGTATCTAATAAAAAGCACTGACCTTACCATGGATTTTCAGGATGTAAAATACTTTCTTAAGCAGTAGCATTTGATGTGTTCAATATGTGCAAAATGCTTCTGCCAGTTGGTTACTATATTCTTCGCTGAAGTTTGACTGCAGAGGAATCTGTACCAAGATTGTAAGGATAAATAGTGTTTTGGAGCTTAGAAAGCCTCTGAGTACACAATGCCTTTTTCAAATCTGAGACATCAGCAGTAATCTGCAAGCTAAACAGGAGTAGGAAAAAACCCCTCAAACTAAACCAAAAATCCCAAGCCAAAGCAACAAAAACCCAAAAGTAAAAAAAAAAAAGTAAAGTTAAACCAAAACTGATACAAAAAAAGTGGGAGGGGGAACAAGAGGAGTGGCAAGTTACCTCAGAGAAAAATTAGGGAAGGGGGGAGTTTGGAAATTTAGTGGTCATAAAGCCATATAGAATAGGGTGCCACTGTCCTCAGATCTGTTCAGAAGATCTAGCACTTGAATAGGTTAGGAACAAATCTCTTGCAACTTTACAATGCCGTATCTTCCCTTTGAATGAATGAGAACTGTTATCAGTACTGGAGACTACAGGACTGAAATTCCAGAATTAAGGTCCAGTGGCTGCAGTAATTGCAATTAAAACAAAGAAGTAAAAAGATCCTGACAAGAGTAGAAGCTAAAAGAGCAAGCTCCAGCTTCCCAGAAGAAACCAAGGAGCCTTTTAGAATTGTTTCCCCAGCCCTTGTGGGCACTTGCCTTCCCCCTGCCACCAAGATGCCAAGCTTTGCCTCTTGAGACTGACTGTAATCTTCCCTGGAAGGGACACTAGAACTTTGAGCTGCGTTGTTTTTCCTCACTTTAGTCAACTTGTACAACTAATCCTATTTAAATGTAGAGTTCAAAACAACCTATTTCAAAACCACAAAACAGATGGACATATTGTTACATTACTTTGTCTTTTCAATTCAGGAAAGTTAAGTCAGCCTTAAATCCTGAGCTGCATGCTCTTTGCTCAGGTTAGCTATTTTGTAGACTGGCATAGGAAAGGTGTCTGGATTATAGCTGATGGTAATAAGTATAGGGTATTATACTTGGGAAGGGAATGCACGTTAAGCCTTTCTACCTGTCAGTCTGCATTGTTTCAGCTTTTCTTTGTCAGCAGCTGTTGCATTTTTGGTTACTCCAGTACAAGCTGAGGAAATCAGTTTCTCTTTGGCTCTTTTTGGCTTGTTTCAATTGATAAATAACTTTTTAGTTGTATATAAAGTATATGTTTACACAATGCTACTGAAACTTTGCAAGGAAAGCTTATAGAAGTTAGGTTTTTTGGAGAAGGTACTGTTATCATCAGTTGTAACTAGAGCGAAGAATCACCATCTTTTTATTATCTCTTCCTATACCATGGGAACAACTGATGATTTTTTTATGTGACTGCTTTTAAGTGATTCCTTTCTCTGGTAGAGAAACAGACCTATTTAACTCTGAACAGTTCTGGTCACAAAACTCGCTCTGTATTTTACAGGGATGTAATTCAGCCTTAAATAGTCGTACATACATGTATAAATATTTTTATCTTATAAAAAGTGCCATTGTTCTCCGATACACTCCATTAGTAATAGGTCTTCTAAGGGTCTCCTCCTTTAAAGATGACTGACTTGAAAGTATTAAGTTGTTTTACAAATAAACTTTGAGCATAACAGTGAACACAGTAGGGGTATACTAGCCCACTCCTGTTAATTAACAGTTTGTCACTTGCTGTTGGGATATGCAGTGAGCAGAATTAGGGTGACCAGATTAGAAATTTTACTTCGTCTTGTGCCCTTTCCACCTTGCAGCAGCACAGAATTCCATATGTTTACATAATGAAAGTATATATCAGACCTACCTTTAATACTTGTACAACTCTGAAGCTGTATGTGACAATGGCATGAAACAAGCAGCTGTTAAGTCAGCTGGGTAGCTGGGTCTAGGAGATCTGACACAACTGTCAGATGACAGTCTGTGCAGATTTCTTTGGCCCTTAAAGAGGGCATATCTCCACAGAAATTACTTCTTTTTTTTTTTGCTTAGTCTCTGACTGTGGGAAGAAACAGGAAGAAACACAGGATCTTACAAAAAATACACTGATTCCACAGGAACACCTTAGCTCATGAAACTGAACTGAGGCTGAACTTTATTTCTAGGTTCCTTCTACCAGTCACATTGTCCTCCATGTGACAGAATGAATTGAAATGTTTTACATGGATGTTGTTTTACAGTGTTGTTGTACTTAACAGATTAAATTAAGCTGACAAAGCTTTGAATCTTGTGAAATTATTTTTTCTAATGCAAGTGAGTGTTCAGTCATCAGATTAGTTAAGGTACAACGACCAAGAGCACTAGTTCTAGATAAGGCAATGGTAAAAGCAAACAGTTAATGGTATAAAAAACACAGGTTCAACTTATCTGAATAAAAATCCATTGAAGAATGTTGTAATAGATAATGGGAAAGAATGAACATATGTCACCAGAAACAGCATTCTTCAAATATACACAATGCAGCATTTTAATACACAGCAACCTGCCTAGCTATGACAAAAGTAAGGTTCTATTACAATTCTAACAAAAATATAGCTTATATATATTTCTCTGCACATATGTTTTATGAATGTTTCCTTTTGTTTCAGAACTTGGTACAAAACATACAAAAAAGTTTGGCACATTATGTGAGCTACCTGCAGCACGGTCACATTTCTTCCACAGCTATCTAAACTCTATGGTTTTGTTGGGTTTTTTGGGTTTTGTTTTGTTTTGTTTTCCTTTACTGGGTTCAGTTCTTGATAAAGTGTAGGGGAGGTAAAGAGAATGTGTCAAGACCTTCCCTTTTAATAATTAGTGGACTGCTTCTTCAACTGCAGGGACAGCTTTGAAGCTTTTGTCTGCAGCCTGGAGTGCACAGTGTTAAAAATCAGCGGTTCTGCTAGTATTTATTAACTGAAAAATCTGGGAATAGTCTAAAATTTTAACTCATGTTCATGTTCTGCATCTCATTAAAATGAGATGTACAAAAATACACGTTTGTGCTTTGGAAGCTTTAGCATATATTTAATATCTTAAAACTATGTTTGGTTTCTAACTTACATCTTTTGAATACTTTTAATATCACAAAAGAAACCAGCATTTTATCAGGAGGGAAAACCAGTACAAATTTTAATGCTGTTATAAATTGTAACCTGGAACCTCTTTTTATAAAGTGACAGGTTCATCCTAGAAGTAAGTAGCACAATATATGCACTTACAATAAAATTTAGATCAGTTTGCTTAAATTGATGACCATATGTATAAACACCGCTTTATACAAAAGGATGTTGATCAAGTGACACAGTGTTTTTTTGTATAAAATTTGATGAAATAGTGCATGGTGACATTTCTAAGATGGCAGAGAAATGTAGATGGCACCAATTATCTAGAACATGCTTATTTTCTTTCATTATATTGACCAATTTTAATATAATTTAACTTCTACTGAGATTTTATATGGAAAAGAATGAAAAGAGAATGCTTGGTAATAAGAAGGTTGTTTTCAATGGTGTGGTGTTTGGTTTTTACTTCAGCCAGTTTATTGAGGTTTGCTTGTTCAACTGTGCATGTTCTCTTTAGAACTATGATTTGGAGAACAGAGGAACACTGATAGATTTGGAGCCAGTTTATGTTGGGGTAAGTGGAAGGTTTTGATGCTTATTTGTCAACCCACTCTGACTTGACTGGTGACTCAATTACCCCTCTGTTTGAGAAACGGTTGTGAAGTGTTAAGTGAATGGAGTTGTATCAATAACAAGATTGGACAAATGCGTATTCACTATTAGAAATTAGTTTCAGAAATACATTTTCTGCCACAAAATGTTATTTTCAAAGAGCACTTATTCATCTGTGGATTATGTAGCCTTTTTTGAAAACATTTTTCTGTAGAACTCAGAAAAGTTTAAAAGTGATGAGTAGAGTGTTTCTTTTTTGCCACGCAGCCTTAATTTCACTGGACAAGAAACACCATCCATCTTGTAGCCAAGTCAGTAAGTGATTCACAGTGAAACTGGTAGATCAAGTGGTCTGTTTTTCTTGCCTTAGAGTCAGTTGTTGTTTTCTGATGGCAGCCTGAGACTTTTGCACTTTAACTCATCCAGTGTTTTCCAGTGTTTGTAGTTATTAGCCAAGTGTTGCATCAAAACAGGCAGATGTGCAAATGCTGAAATGAACAGAACAGTTGTACTAAGTATACAGAATGGGCAGA